CTATAACAGCCCCATTATTTGGAGGCAACAGTCATGCCCATTATGCAATCTGGAGAGACATATCTCTTTTTCCCAGGGATACTACTTAGATAGCCTTCCCATAGTCGTCTCCTCTATGGACAGAAATAAGTTCCAGACAGTGGCACTCAATCCTTCAGGATTACTAACCTACAAAGCCCCTGAGGAGCAAACATGTTGCATTTTTGCTCACCGTGGCCCAAGTGGTCTATGAAAGCTCGCTTTTGAGAGATGGTGGTGGAATGCTCAGTCCTAGTTGAGATTCTTAAAAATGCTCATTGTGGAACATCAAATCAAGGCAGGTGACGTGTTGTAGTGAGGAGGATGCCAGGTCTGGCAGCCAGACCTGCCACTGACAGATATGGGACTTCAGACAAGTCACTTTTTTCTGAATTTTCATCTATAAAATGGAAGTCATTGGTTATATGAGCTCCAAGGTGCAATCCAGCCATAGAATTCTGTGACTCTGGAATGTTATAGTGCAGACAGGTAGAAAAGACCAGGAACATTTTCTAGGTGTGCTGTGCTTTTAATGTGTCCCCTCCAAAATTCAGGCATTGCCAATGTGATGGTATCAAGACATAGGGCCTCTATGAGGTGATTAGGCAATGAGGGCTTCTTCCTCATTAATGGGATTAAGGCCCTTATCTTGAGGCTTCATGCAGCATGCGTCCAGCTTACTAGCTTGCACTCTGGCTCTCCTGTCATGTGAGGACACAGCATTTGCCCCTCTGGAGGATGCAGCCACACCAGACAACTAAACATGCTGGTGCCTTGGAATTCCAGCCTCCAGGACTGTGAGAAATGAATGTCTGCTCTGTATGAATTACCCAGTCTCGGGTATTTTGTTGTATGTAGCAACACAAATGGACTAAGACAAAGTGGAATGGAGCAATGGAACCCTAGAAGCTTGAGAACAGCTCTGAGAAACCATGTGAGTGGTCACTAATCTCTGAAACTGGTTCTTGAGCTGACAGCTCATCCTTCCTCTGAGGATTAGGGTGTCACCTTCACCTCACTCACCTGCAGCTTTGTGGCTACACTTAGGGGTAGCCTTAGGACAGTAGGAGCAAGCTTTGCTTATTTCATTTTTAGTTTGAGAGCCGGCTGAGTGATGATTCTGCTCTTACCACCTCTGCTCCTGGTGGCAGCTGCAAAGTGTCCTTATTCAGGGGGAGCTGCCAGGCTGGCCTGGGGGTGAGAGCTGGGGCAGTGTCTCTGGTTGTCTTAGTTGAATCCATATGTGTGATCTCAGAACCAGGCATTTCAGAAACTCAAGGCCTCATCTCATTCTTCCACCATCTAATGCCAACTAGGCAAGACCATTTTTCCTGTCTCAAAGTGCTGTGATATTTCTTCCTTGCTGAGTAGCTATGGGGATAGGCACATAGAAGGGACTCGGAGGTACGTATAGATTGAATCTTCCATTCCAGCACCCATACTGGTTATAGAGTGCTGGAATGGAAGGCTTGGTGTCCATGTGATGTGAATGAACTGGAGCCACACCAGGAAAACTTACTATGCTGTGGCAAACCATTTCCTTTCTTTCCATTGACCACACACTCCTATTGTTTTAACAAGTACTGATGAAAGTAACATTTTGATAACCTGGGGCTCTGCTATTGCTTTCAAGCTATGCCCCACTCATCTGATGAGGGATGTTCAAGGGACAATTCAATATCAAAACCACATTGGGAAAATATCCATAAAGATCATTTATTAACTTAAAATCTCATTTGTATATAAACATTTGCTCACATTCAAAATAACACAAACTGAGCTGAGGATAAAATGTGAGCTGGGAGGATCTGCTGTAGCCTCCACCTCCCTCAGTAGACTTCATCCAGCTCTGCTCCTCTAGGCTCTCTCCTTCCCAGCCTCTGCCAACAGATCTCTAGCTGGAAGCAGGGCCAAGTGAAAAGAGTGGCTCCAAAGGAGGAGAAAGAGAGTCCCTCCCTCCCCATGATATGTGGGTGCTCCCGCTAAGTCCCCACCATGGCGATCAGCTTTGGATAAACACAAGGTGTGTCTCCTGGAAGGGTGACTGTCGCAAAGGCTTTTCTTTGATTAACCTTGGTTTTTGAAATCAAGCACTCTGTGTCTTAGGAAATTCAATGGACATACTTTGTCCTTTTCCATTTTGCAAACATTGATTGATTTTTCTCTCATAGGATGGTGGGTAGCAGGGTGGGCAATGTTGTAGCACTGTCTGTAGTACCCTCAATATGTGTCCAGTCTAGCTTTGTGTGTCCAGAGACTGGGCAAGCAAATCCCAACCAGCCATCGTGGAGCATTAAACAGGCGGGAAAGGCAGACTCATTTGTGCCAGGCCCTTTCTCCCAGTGGAATAATTAGGTTAAGCCTCAGGGCTCTACAACAACCTTTTCACATATATGTATATATGGAAGAATAGTAAATTTAGCACAGATTAAAATGTTAACATATACACATACTAGTCAATTAATAATGAAGATACTAGATTACATATAAACTCATATCCTATCGCCCTCACACCAATACCAACAAAATGCTTACAGGATAGAGAAAGGTGGCTGGTGGGTGAGTGTGGCATATGAAAAATGTGTTGATTGATACTCTGCTGAAAATCCATCTTTGCTCTTCCAAATTGATCAATTAAGAAGGAAGTAAAGAAGCAATTAAACTCCATTCTGTGGCATGTGACCCAAAAAGGGCTTCAGTTTAGACCTTGTTTATGATTCTTCTAAAGGCAAACAAACTTCATAAAGAAATCATGAACCTTTTCTTGATCCTTCTGACATCTTCTCACCCCAGAGAGCAGTGAAGACACTGGTGTGCAGAATGGGTGACTGTGGTTATGGCTGATCTGAGGAGTCCAGTACACTTAATCTGGTCATGACACATGGGGCAAGGAACAGACAGTTCTGGAAACCTAAATTTAATTGAGTATATGGCTGAGGTTCTCTTAGTTTGCTATCTATCATTTCTGCCACACCAAAGAAAGCTCCATATTCCAAAGGCTTTTTGAAATGGGATGAGACTGATTTGTTTACTCTCCCAGGTGAACTTTAAAAGAAACTGTAATCAGGCTGGATACGGAGGCTCATGTCTGTAATCCCAGCACTTAGGAAGGCTGAGGCCAGAGGATCACTTAAGGCCAGGAGTTTGAGACCAGAGTGAGCAACATAGCGAGACCCTGTCTCTACAAAAAATAGAAAAATTAGCCAGGTGAGGTGGCACATGCTTGTAGTCCCAGCTACTTGGGAGGCTGAGGTGGGAGGATTGCTTGAGCCCAGGAGTTTGAGTTTGCATTGAGCTATCATGATGCCACTGTACTCCAGCCTGGGAAACAGAATGAGACCCTGTCTCAAAAAAAAAAAAAAAAAAAGGGAGAAGAAAAAAGAAAATTGTAATTTGTAATCTGTAATGATTTTTCAGGTTTTTAAGGGAATGAAATGATTTTTCAGCTTTTTAAGGGAATGACAATTAGTTAGTCCTGACTTTCAATTTACCTCAGAATAAAAATGTGATATTGGTCGGCCTCACTCTTCTCTTGTCCAAAGAACAAAAAGACCCAAGGGAGGGAAGGCTGGGCGGAAGTGACAGGGCCAGGCTCAGCCTGACAAGACATGAGATTTGGATCTATCTGGACAGGGAGGCTGCTCAACAAGGTTTTTCTAGACTGAAATAATCTAGTTTTCATAAATAAAGAATTCAGGGAAGCCAGGTAGGCTCACTATGGGCAGGCTGCCCTGGGTAGCCTAACCTTGGCTACCAATGCTAACTGACAGAGCCATGCTCCCAGTTTAAGCCTGGGGTTGGTAAAATGGAGAGAGAGAAAAAAGGCAACCTCTTGCAGATCAAATAAAGCCATCAAGTCATACACACCTGGAAACACATCTTTCCCTTGCTTCTAGGACTACAGAGTTTTAAAAACTCACTGGCTCCCCCAGACTCATTACGCTGCCCATCAGCTTGAGAGGTTGCTAGAGTCCACTGCAAGCTAAAGGACTCATTTCAACATTCTGCTGAATAGGAAGACAGAAGAGAGAATGAGGTTTCAACTGTACTTCTTCCATAGGCGGTCTCTGGGACAAAGTGAGGAGACCCTGCTTGGGGTGGTGGAGATTATTCTGGCAAGTGGAGATGGTTCTTTGGGACATAGGGTTAGTGGCCCTGAGCAGAGCACATGCAGGGCCTGGTCAACCCATGGCCTTTAATCCTCATGGAGTGAAAGGTAGGGCCAAAGAATGAGTATCAGCCTGCAGCAGCTAGATGTCACTTTCCCTTTAGTGGCATCTTTCCCAGACACAACTATGGGAAGTTCACAAGAGTACATGTGATGGAAGATAAATAAACTGGACACTTGGGTCAAAAAGAAATACCTAGAGATTTTTCTTATTCATCCTGGGAAATTAGAAGCATGGTCACCTGAACATTGGTAGAGAAAGGGTTTCAGGCTTATGCCTCCACTGGATTTCCCTAGGGTAATCACTCTCTTATGTAATTTAATGCTTCCTATTTCCAAGGATTCGTTGGGTCTTTGCCTACTGAGCCCTTTGGTTACAGGATGAGCAGCTGCCAGGCTCATGACTATTGAGACTGACCCACAATTGGCCCTCAGGTGTTGCTTGGGATGGTAAGGGCATCAACTCCAACTTCAGAATTAAATGACCACTTAGAGGTAGTGGTGAGAGAACAGGTTGGAAAAGTGTATTTCTGAAATCGCTTTTGTTGCAAAGGGGCTACTTTTAAGTTTGAGGGATCTTTCAGCGGAAAGGTTTTCCTTGTGTACAAAAGGGACCCAGCTTTTTTCAGCAGAAGATTGAGAAAGAAACACTCTTGAAATAAGGCTGAATATACAATGGTCCCCGCCATGCAGAAAGTGTCCTATGTTAATTTTCTAATCTCTGTTTGGCATAGAAAAGATACTGTCCTCCCACCCTCACCCCCACCCCTTTAGTGTGTTATCTACTGATTGGTCTGATTGAAAACACCTTGGGTTGTTAGAATGATTTCTATATTCAATACATAACAGGATGCTAGTGAGATAGTTCTTTGTGAAAGGAGAGATACAATTACTTTGCAATCAAATAATTTAAAATCCTAGATCAGTATGTGAAGAAACCTACAAATTTCCTATAGCAATTTTGCAGCATGTGCTTCAGAGTCAAATGAAAAATATATCTTCCAGAATTTGATTCTCCTCCAGGTCTTCAGGGGTCCTGCACATCCCAGTCTTCTTCCAGATGGATCTTGGAGGACTGAGTCGGAAAGTACTGTGATTCCAGGCCCCAGCTCCTCTGGAGGGACGGGGCTGAGGTTTGGGAGCCAACTTTGGGCTCAGAGACTGAACCAAATCCAACAGAGATGTCTCATACCTGTAAGACACACAGCCCAAACAGAAAAGGGTCAGACTACTAGAACATTAGAATCCAAGAAGCCCAGCAGAGATGGGCTGCCTAGGACAAGAATCAGACCCTCTTCCCCTTTGTAAGAGGCCTCCTAGGGGAATTTTAGGGAAGGTAAACACCAGAAGGCCTTCAAGAAGCAAGGTTCCTGTTGCCTGTCCGTAAGCTCTTATCTTCTGCTGACTTTTTTTTGTTTTTCTTTTTGAGACAGAGTCTCGCTTTGTTGCCCAGGCTAGAGTGAGTGCCACGGCGTCAGCCTAGCTCACAGCAACCTCAAACTCATAGGCTCAGCCTCCCGAGTAGCTGGGACTACAGGCATGTGACACCATGCCCGGCTAATTTTTTCTATATATATATTAGTTGGCCAATTAATTTCTTTGTATTTATAGTAGAGACGGGGTCTCTCTCTTGCTCAGGCTGGTTTTGAACTCCTGACCTTGAGCAATCCACCCGCCTCGGCCTCCCAGAGTGCTAGGATTACGGGCGTGAGCCACCACGCCCGGCCTTCTGCTGACTTTTAACATTCATTTCTAACTCATGAAGAGAGACTATAGTGTGGGAAAAGTCATCATGATAATAGTAATTATATTAACAACAACATTTATTGCAGGCTTACTAAATGTCAGGCAGTCTTCTTAATAGTCTGCATATATTTAACCTGCTTCTAACCCTCTAAACAATCCCAGGAAGCAGGTACAGTACTACTATGATCTATTATATACATGAGGAAACTGAGGCTCAGGGAAGTAACTCACCTAACAGAAAGTTATCACATGGCAGAGTCTGGAATCGGACACAGGTAGTTTGTTTCTACCACTCTTACCCAGGACACTAAAGCTGTCTCTCAAACTCTTTGCTGACAGACAGACTTGGCTCAAATCTCTGCTCTACCATTTGCAAACCATGTGATACTGGAGAATTTATTCAATCTCTCAGTCTAGTCTCATCTGTAAGGGGCTAACAGAACTCCTGTTAGGATTAAATGTATTAGTTACTATAAATGAAGATATAATAGGTACTCAATAAATGCTAGTTCCTTCCTGTTATCCTACTCCCACTTTTCTTAGAATCTCAGAAAAACAAACCCTCATCTGAATCTATAAACGGATTCCTCCGAAGAAAGACTGACTTGGTGTCCGACATTCTTATCACAAAGAGTAAGCTTAGAGCAGCTTAGAGGCAGAGAAATTAATTATGGCGGATGACACCCTTACCCATGGCCTACTGTGCATATTTCCAGGATGGAAAACCAAAGGCATGAATATATCTGCTTCCATACTCATTCATACAAGATGTCAAGTATTTACACAGATAAATCATTAAGTACTCAATGAATGATGAACAAAACTACACTGTCCTAATTAGTTTCTTAAATTTTTAACTGTTGAAATAATATATTTAGTAAGAATATGTTTATATTATAAATTCCAACATATACAATCACATATAAAGAAAAATAAAAGTCCCTTCAACACTCTGTCCTCCCACCCAAATGCCAATCCCATGCCACTTCTCAAAGATCACTGGTAACTGTTTAGAATATATGTTTCCAAATTTTTTTAGTATAATTACATGGATACATGTGTATTTACAAATACACAGACATAGACACACATGCATTTACAACCTTAAATTGGGCCATGTTTCTTTACTGATCTATGATCTTCTTTTTCACTTATTAGCATGTTCTGGAGACCATTCCATGATAATGCATATTGACCTGCCTAAGTCTTCTAAACTGCAGCAATGTTCTATTTTACAGATGCGCCATTACCCAATTTTAAAGTAGTCCCATAGCCTTACTATCTTACTCTAGCTAAATCTTGTATTTAGTATTCCTGTTCTGGTATCTCAAGTGATCAGTATTTGGTCATTAGTGTTGATTTAAGGGTAATTTGCTTAAAAACTTTTTTTAAAAAATTATGTTCTTCTTGAACTTCTTTTCTACTATATTCATGCAAGATAGTATTAGTACAATTTGCTTCAATGAGCAGAAATAAAATGGAATGATAGTGATAGGTTTAGGAACTCTCAGATATAATAGCTCAAATTAGGGTTGCTTTCACCATGCCATAAACTAGCCAGGTTCATAAAGATCTAATATCTCTCTTCCTTTCTTAGATACTGAATTGAGGTAGGTGTAGTAGAGATCCCTATGCGAGAAGTATTTTTTTCTCACATTCATACCAACCAGTCCTTATAGTCCAAGAGCAAGTCATGGAGACCTCAGGCACCATTCTGGCATAGGGAAGTTAAAGTCCCCAAAGGTTCTCTTCTGACTTCTTAAAGCTATTAGTTTTATAACTCTAGTTAAACTGACATTCTGTTGGCTGAAAAGCTTAGCTCTTATTTCTATGCCATTTTTGTGGTTCCAACCTCCAGATCTATGAAGCATCTATTGTGCTGAGGCTTTGAAAAGTGGATGCAGTAGATGAAACTGTTACTCTGACAAGTCATTATCACTTAAACAAAGCTGTAGCTAGACACTTCAGCAAAGTAGTATAATACAGTGGGCTAAATTCACATATATACATACTTCCAGTAGAGGACCGCTGTTTTTAATAAATGGCATGGTTTTTCTGACACCAATGAAACACAGGCAATAACAAAGTGAATAACTATGGAAGAATTTGAGAATTTTCATGTATGAGACTTTGTTATTCAAGGAGAATAATATCCTTAGTCATCCTAGTACGACTAATCAGGATTCAACTCTGATATTCTGATAATAGATCCAAATTAGTATTCTTAATAAAAACATTGCATTCAAGGTAGTGGTAAGAAGTCAGGTTCTGAAGTTGGATGCTAGATTTGAATCATGGCTCTACCAATTTCTAACTATGTGATCTTGGGCAATTTGCTTAAATTTTTTAAGCTTCAATTGCTTCATTTGTAAAATGAAGGTAAAAACAATAATGTCTACCTTTCTGAGGAATTATAATATATATAAAGTGCTTAGCACTATGCCTAGCATTTAATAAGTGCCCAATAAAAAGAAACTATTACTATTATTATTTTTTAAATTGTTGTTAGGAAGCAGGATGTAGGCAGAAAAAGGGAGATTACATAGAAGGATCAGAAAAAACTCTAGAAAAATGTGCTATTATTGCTATCTCATAATGGTGTTCAAACCACTTATATCTTTAGTAAGAAGACTAAAAGAAAAAACTATTAAAAACAATAATACAAACAATTTGTTAAGAGATAGGCAATACAAAAATGTAAACTGTAACATCAAAAATTTAAAATGCAGGGAAAAACAGCATTTAAGGTATACAGGCTTTTATTTTTATTTTTTGGTTTGTTTGTTTCCTTATTTTGTGATCAAAGTTAAGTTGATATTAGTTTTAAATACTTGTTATAAATATAATAGGAATTTTTTGGAAGCCTCATAGTAACCACAAAGCAAAAACCTATAATATATAGACATACTAAAAATAAAAAAGCAACTATCAGAGACAGTCACTGAAATACAAAGGAAGACAATAAGAGAGGAAGGAAGAGAGGAGTTACAAAACAACTGCACACCATCAGGAGGATGGACACGCTTGAAGCTCTGACTTGGGTGGAGCAAGGGCAACGTAACCCAAACATTTGTACCCCCATAATATGCTGAAATAAAAAAGAAAAAATAAATAAACAAAAAAACAACTAGAAAACAAGTGACAAAATGGCAGTAGTAAGGCTTTACCTAACAATAATACTATCGAATGTAGATGGACTAAATTCTTAAGTTAGTCTTAAATTAAAAGATATAGAGTGGCTGAATAGATTAAAAAACAAGAGCCAATTGTATGCTGCCTATGGGAAACTCACTTAACCTATAAGGAAACTCATAGATTGAAAGTGAAGGGATGGAAACAAAAAAATATTCCATGCAAATGGAAACCAAAAAAGATCAGGAATAGCTATACCTATATCAGATAAAATAGACTTTAAGTCAAAAGCTGTAAAAAGAGACAAAAATGTCCTTACATAATGATATGGGGTCAATTCTGTAAAAGGATATAACAATGGTAAATATATATGCACTCAACACTGGAGCACTCAAATATATAAAGCAAATATTAATAGATCTAAACAGAGAGATAGATTGTAATACAATAATAGTCAAAATCTCACTTCTAGCAATGGACAAATCATCCAGGCAGAAAATCAACAAAGAAATACCAAAGTTTAAACTATACTCTAGACCAGGGGTCCTCAAACTTTTTAAACAGGGAGTCAGTTCACTATCCCTCAGACCATTGGATAGTGTGCACTGTGGGCCCAGGACGAGTCAGCTGCTAAGCAGGACAGGCAGTGGCAGCACAAACATCGGGAAGGCTGGATAAAAGGGCTAGGCGGCCCGTATGTGGCCGTGGCCATAGTTTGAGGATGCCTGCTCTAGACCTAATGGACTAACAAACATTTACAGAACATTTCATCCAACAGCTGCAGAAAACACTTTTTCTTATTAGCACATGAAATATTCACTAGGATAGACTATACGTTAGGCCACAAAACAACTCTCAACAAATTAAACAATCAAATCACATCAAGTATCTTTCTGACCATAACAGAATAAAACTAGAATCAATAACAGAGGAACTTTGGAAACTGTACAAATACATGAAATTGAACAACATGCTCCTGAATGACCAATGGGTCAATAAAAAACTAAGGAATTTAAAAATTTCCTAAAACAAATCAAAATGGAACACAACATACTAGAACATGTGGGATACAGTAAATTTTTACTAAGAGGAGGTTTATAGCAATCACAGCATCCATCAAAAAATAGGTTATGTTCACTTCATAAAGTGTTGGGGATGATTCCATCCTTCTTGATGTTGTGGAATAATTTCTGCAGGATAGGCACCAGTTATTCTTTGTAGGTGGCAACAAAATCCTAGACAATCGAATCCAGGTGCTTGTCAAGAAAATATCCATCACAACCAAGTGGTTCATCCCAGGGATGCAGGATGTTC